CAGCTGCAGTTGGTGTGTCAAGCATTCTCTTTGTCGGGTTAGGATAACCTTATGCCCCATGTTAATACTACAGCTGCAGTTAGTGTGTCAAGCATTCTCTTTGTCGGGTTAGGATAACCTTATGCCCCATGTTAATACTACAGCTGCAGTTGGTGTCTCAAGCATTCTCTTTTTCGGGTTAGGATAACCTTATGTCCCATGTTAATACTACATCTGCAGTTCTGTCAACCATTCCCTTTGTCGGGTTAGGATAACCTTATGTCCCGTGTTAATACTACAGCTGCAGTTGGTGTGTCAAGCATTCTCTTTGTCGGGTTGGGATAACCTTATGTCCCGTGTTAATACTACATCTGCAGTTGGTGTGTCAATCCAGTCTCTTTGTCGGGTTAGGATAACTTTTATGGCCTTCGGTGATGCCACAGCTGTGTTTGGTGTGCCAAGCTTAGGTTTTGTTTGTTTGTTTGTTGTTTAACGCCGCACTCAGCAATAGTACAGCTATATGACGGCGGTCTGTAAATAATCGAGTCTGGACCAGACAATCCAGTGATTGATATCATGAGCATCGATCCACTCAATTGGATCAACCAAGTCAGCGAGCGAGCCTGACCACCCGGTCCCGTTAGTCGCCTCAGTCACCTTTTCCGCCTGGGTAGCCAGGAAGCTCAAGGTAATGGTTGGTTCTAACGCTGTAGTTGGTAGTGAAACATGTAGTATTATCGAGTCTTGCTTGACATGAAGATCTGAACCAAAACGTATTTATTATTACATTATATCAAAGAAGTTATTAATTGTGTTTATTTTGTCGCGAAATATCATCTTACGGGATATGGTCGATACCTCCGCGTATTAAGTCAAAACCCTTCACATAACCATAAGAAATCTCTGCTAAAAGCAGATTCCATTATTCGATTCCGACTATAGTATAAACATGTGTTCAATGTGTGACAGCCCTCGGTTATGCTGCTATATGTTCTTCCATGTTTTCCATGTCAATACTACAGCTGGAGTTGGTGTGTCAACCATTCTCTTTGTCGGGTTAGGATAACCTTATGCCCCATGTTAATACCACAGCTGCAGTTGGTGTGTCAAGCATTCTCTTTGTCAGGTTAGGATAACCTTATGCCCCATGTTAATACTACAGCTGCAGTTGGTGTGTCAACCATTCTCTTTGTCGGGTTAGGATAACCTTATGTCCCATGTCAATACTACTGCTGCAGTTGGTGTGTCAAACATTCTCTTTGTCGGGTTAGGATAACCTTATGCCCCATGTTAATACTACAGCTGCAGTTGGTGTGTCAACCATTCTCTTTGTCGGGTTAGGATAACCTTATGCCCCATGTTAATACTACAGCTGCAGTTGGTGCGTCAAGCATTCTCTTTGTCGGGTTAGGATAACCTTATGCCCCATGTTAATACTACAGCTGCAGTTAGTGTGTCAAGCATTCTCTTTGTCGGGTTAGGATAACCTTATGCCCCATGTTAATACTACAGCTGCAGTTGGTGTCTCAAGCATTCTCTTTTTCGGGTTAGGATAACCTTATGTCCCATGTTAATACTACATCTGCAGTTCTGTCAACCATTCCCTTTGTCGGGTTAGGATAACCTTATGTCCCGTGTTAATACTACAGCTGCAGTTGGTGTGTCAAGCATTCTCTTTGTCGGGTTGGGATAACCTTATGTCCCGTGTTAATACTACATCTGCAGTTGGTGTGTCAATCCAGTCTCTTTGTCGGGTTAGGATAACTTTTATGGCCTTCGGTGATGCCACAGCTGTGTTTGGTGTGCCAAGCTTAGGTTTTGTTTGTTTGTTTGTTGTTTAACGCCGCACTCAGCAATAGTACAGCTATATGACGGCGGTCTGTAAATAATCGAGTCTGGACCAGACAATCCAGTGATTGATATCATGAGCATCGATCCACTCAATTGGATCAACCAAGTCAGCGAGCGAGCCTGACCACCCGGTCCCGTTAGTCGCCTCAGTCACCTTTTCCGCCTGGGTAGCCAGGAAGCTCAAGGTAATGGTTGGTTCTAACGCTGTAGTTGGTAGTGAAACATGTAGTATTGTCGAGTCTTGCTTGACATGAAGATCTGAACCAAAACGTATTTATTATTACATTATATCAAAGAAGTTATTAATTGTGTTTATTTTGTCGCGTAATATCATCTTACGGGATATGGTCGATACCTCCGCGTATTAAGTCAAAACCCTTCACATAACCATAAGAAATCTCTGCTAAAAGCAGATTCCATTATTCGATTCCGACTATAGTATAAACATGTGTTCAATGTGTGATAGCCCTCGGTTATGCTGCTATATGTTCTTCCATGTTTTCCAGGAAGCAGATTTTAAGTGTGTAGGTGAGGTGAATGGGGTTTAACGTCGCGTCCGAGATTATTGCACTTATATAGCGACGTGCATGTACGTGTATGTGTTTGTGTGGCTGCTTGTACTAGTCCGGACTGATGCCGATTTATAGTGCTAGCTCACTGAGATACCATGCCGCAGTTTAACATGAAGACCCCACTCAGACACAGTATACTGACTCCGAGCCGACCAGTCCTTGTTTTAGCCCCTTAATGCCGAGCGCCAGACAGGGTAACAACAAGTACCATCTTTTAATGTCTTTTGGTATGACGCGGTCTGGGATTGAACCCCGGACCTTCCGCTCTCCGGGCGGACGCTCTACCCCTAGGCCACGGAGGCGGCTTAAGTGTGTAGAAACATTATGAAGTATTACATATAAGAACTATCTAGAACTTTAGTATTTGTCAGAATCAAGTTCTGATACTTAATTCCCACTGGCCCTGAACTGAGGAGCTAAAGAAACTATAGCTCTCAGATGATTTTATCATTTATTTACTTTCAATCAACAATATCTCAAATTAGCGACATTGTATCCAAGAAATGAACTCTGCGTGTGCTTAGTGAGCACTCAAAGAAAACTTCTACATAATTCTATTTAAAAAATAATAATTTAAAACTTATAAAATAAATAAGAAAAAATTCGCATAAAAAAACCTGCTTATGGGTATCTTCGAAATATTAAATCTGAAAATAAATAAATTTGCTTTTTTCGGCATACATTTTCAACATTACAACATTACACGGTGTTGGGGTCATGTGGTTGCAAATTCCTTTCTTACCCTTAGTCTTCGTTGAACCAACTTACTTTTACATAAAATACCCAGCCACTGATGAGTTTTTACAAATTGCAGGAATGAGTGATAGTTAAATAAACATAAACAAATTTAACAACAATTCTTTCAATTTCCAATTACATGAAAAACAAACTATCTTTTGCCGTTCAGTATATTTAACCCTCACGAATATAGGTGAGGATATGATACAGTGTTTGAGACTGTGACATTGCTCATGTTTGTGTTTCCTTTTCAGAAACTGTATCGGACAACATTTCGCCTTACATGAGGAAAAGGTCATGCTTGGAAGAATTCTTCAAAGGTATAATTTCTTTAATGATTTATTAAATATGATTTCAACTTTACAAATTTAAAAGATCGTTCTGTTATTATAATGTTTGAGCAACAGTCCATTTCAAAATAAATTTAAATTAGGTGGACAAGTTGATCCACATGTCCATTCAATCTAGTTTCCATTGCTAAAGGTGAGGTGAGGTGAAATTGGGTTTAACGTCGCGTTCAAGATAATTGCACTTATATAGCGACGTGCATGTGTGGCTGCTTGTACTAGTCTGGACTGATGCCAGTTTATAGTGCTAGCCCACTGAGATACCATGGCGCAGTTTAACATGAATACCCCACTCAGACACAGTATACCTACTCCGAGCCGACCAGTCCTTGTTTTATCCCCTTAATGCCGAGCGCCAGACAGGGTAACAACAAGTACCATCTTTTAACGTCTTTTGGTATGACGCGGCCGGGGATCGAACCACGGACCTTCCGCTCTCCGGGCGGGCTCCATTGCCAAAACAGTAATGAGTACGAATGTTTGTTTGGCTTTTCAGATACAAGTTAGAGGCAGATACGAGCTACAAAGCCGGACGAAGGTATGCCGGCGTAATGAAGTCGACTGAAGGACTGTGGGTGTTCGCCAAACACAGACACTGAACATTCCAGTCCAAGGCGGACATTCTGTTTTCATGACAACGATGAAACTGATAATGCTGTACATAAATATATGATTGTTTTGGATTGATCATGAAAGTTTGCACACTGTTTTATGCCCCCGAGAAACACGATAACATGATTGTTTGATGGTATACCAAATCGTTGTCAGCAGCATATAATAACACAATAATACCAAAACAACAGCACTGTTCACATAAATGTTAATATGAGTGAGTGAGTGATTTTGAGCACAGGAGGGTGCACGGCTGGCCCAGTCGTCTAAGGCGCCGCGATTCGCTGTGCAGAGTTGCGTCCCTTGGTAGGCCAGAAACCTGTGATTGTGGGTTCGCATTTCCGGTGCGCCCCCATAATGTTTCTAGGTTTGTCAGCATCCCAGATTATTGCACTTATATAGCGACGTGCATGCACGTGATGCCGATTTATAGCGCTAGCACACTGAGATACCATGCCGCAGTTTAACATGAATATCCCACTCAGAAACAGTATACTGACTCCGAGCCGACCAGTCCTTGTTAAGCCCCTTAATGCCGAGCGCCAGACAGGGTAACAACAAGTATCTTTTAACGTCGTTTGGTATGACGCGGCCGGGGATCGAACCAAACAAAAAAAAACTTATAAAGGGAAATATCGCACCTATCCTACCCAAAGGTTTCATGTCTCTAAGAACCACTCCATCCTTTCACCACATATGCAACCGCACGAACGCACGCACACACACACGCACGCTCACGCACGCACGCACGCACACACCAAGAACATTTAAGGGTGGCTTCCTTACATAACCTAAGCTCACCGTGTGTTGAGTAGTTACAGATTTAACGTTCATACTTCAAACTGTTGTCAGGCCAGGGTGTTTTGCGTGAAGAAATAAAACAGGAATGGCAAGTATTTATTCACGTTTTGCTTTTGGCTTCTGAACAGTTCAGTTCTTCTTCAACAGAAGCAAAACGACTTCCAATAAGGAATATACACACATGGAGGATGAACAGAAGAAGCCCGATGACGTCCAGACACAAATACTGATACAACGGCATGTCCTGGCAATATGACCTCAGATGTGCGCCGCCATATTTGAGTACGTGTTCTATCCAGTAAACAGCTTCATCTTTGAGACATCTTTCCCTGCGGCATCCTCACTTTTGTCGCTTTCTTGATTTTCTGTGAGTAGGAAGAATTCTGTATGACCTCATTGATGTTGGATACCAAGTCATCTACAGAAAAGTTTTCAAATCCATCGTGATACCGAAACCAAAGTCACTGAACTTCTTGGCATTATAGGGCTGTTCAGCAAACATGGGAACACCAATCATGGGAACTCCGTGCAAGAAAGCCTCGTTCTGACCATCACAACAATTTGGTGTTCGGGTGGGCGATAAGATCAGACTGCGGCATCGAGTCAGTTAACAAAACATTGGTTCCCAAATTTACTTTCTTATCTATTTTGAAGATGTATTTATAGTCGATTTAGAGAATGACTCCAGTTGTCTCCTGGAAATTACGTCTGGACATTCACATTACTTCCGAGGGAAACAATGACCACGCCCTCTTTCGCTCCGTCCATGACCTTTTTGTATTTGTCAGGAAGGGGTTCAGGTGCAACCGCGTACAGAGATCCGATCTGGTTCACATTTGGCAAGATGGCGCTCTTGTAGTTTATGAGTCGTTTCTGATCAATGAGCCATAGCCAGGCTTTTGTCAGAGATTCCATAGAGATGCACGGCTTCTCTGGGGCGTAAGTTACGACGCATACGTAGAAGAAGATGTCGTACACGTACACATGCACGGTTAAAATTTGCATTTGCAACACGTGTCCAAAAGTCCATGCCTATTGGTAATGCAAAGATTGGATGCGGAAGTGCGGTGGGGATAAAGGCTAGCAAGGGGTTCGAACGTTGCCCCCACGAAGACGAAACGGCATGTCCAACTTATATGCCATTAGGGTCAGGTGTATTGGCATAGGAATAATGTCAGATATAATCAAATCGAAATGTAGATTGTACATAGCATTAAATATCTTGTCGTCCTTCCCGTCACATACTTGCATCCCTACCTCGAATGGTGGCGGTGCGCTGGTTTCATTGAGGTAAGCAGTAATGACACGGTCGACTAGCTTCCCTTCTATGGTGTAGTTATCTACGGACTCTTACTTTCGAATATTGACGGCCGGTAACTGCATTCCCTTGTGATTGGCCAGTTCGGTTGGAAGAGCATTCCATACCACGTGACCACGCGAGACTAGCTCTGTGGCCCCTGATGTGACTTATAACGTAAAAAATAGAAACAGGATATTGGCGGCTTCAAGGTTCGTTACACAACCCAGAAACAGAAGGACACATCCGGTTCCTGGTCCCATCCCGATAACAGTGATGTCGAGGTTGTCTGTAGCAAAATATAGCAAATAGAATGAGTGAGTGAGTTCTCAGTTTGATCAGTATTTCAGTGATACTACTCAAAAGAAGTTAAGGTCCAGCCGATCTTTTCAAATCATACCATGACAGATTAACTATGGTATATAAAAGAATTAGGTGGACCTAACTTCTATTGAGTGGCATATATCGCGGTGCGTTAGTTTGATGTGGAAGTATATGATGTAGGTATGAGTTGTTTTCCACTTTGGTGAATCTCACGAACACGGATTTGGAGCAGACAAACCAGAGCGAATGTGGGATTCGAACCCACAATCATAGGTTTCTTGCTCGCATGGGAACGCAAACTCTGCACAGTGAACTGCGGCGCCAAGGACGACTGAACCGTCCGTGCCCCCCGAAAAGAGAACAATAATGGAGTGTTTCTGCTTAGTTCAGGATAGGGGGCACGGGTGGCCCAGTCGTCTAAGGCGTCGCGATTCGCTGTGCAGAGTTATGTCCCTTGGGCATGCCAGAAACCTATGATTGTGGGTTCGAATCCCGGTTCGCCCCGATTATGTTTCTAGGTTTGCCAGCACCATACCCATGCTTGTGGGTTTCACCGAAGTGGTAAAGGTCTGAGCCCTGCATCACTTCGGGCTTTCCTCCCACATTAAGCTGACACGCCGTGATATAACTGGAATACTGTTAAAAGCGGAGTTAAACCCAACTCACTCACTCACTCACTTGTTCAGGATACTGTTCGGAGTGCCGTCACGTGGCGCTCGTACATCGCTCATTCAGTTAATGGGGTACGAGCGATACCTGGTGGCGGTATGGAGGACCACGTCAGCATACACTGGGATATTCAAGGAACGAGGGTCATGAATTCATGTAATATCACTATCTCTGTTTCTGCATCGCCACATCACGCCGCATAAAGTTCTCAAAATCTGGTGCTGACTCAGTGTATTCTTAAGATGAGTTGAGGTGAAAAGGGGTTCAACGTCGCGGTCTAGACAATTCACTTCTGTAGTGCTAGCCCATTGAGATATTTTGCCGCATATTCAACATGGATACCCCACTCAGACACATTATACTGATCAGTCTTTATCTCCTTAATGTCGAGCGCCAGGCGGGGTAACAACAAGTTCCATCATTTACAGTATTTTGCTTTGACGCAGCCAGGCAATCGAGCCAAACAGCTCTTCAGGCAGAAACGCTCTATCCACTACAACACAGAGAGAAGATAAGAGACATATGGTAAGATAAGAGTATCAAACTCACTGCTAAAGGTCGTGATTCCACATCCGTCAGGGACGGTGGGGTAGCCTAGTGGTTAAAGCGTTCGCTCGCCACACCGAAGGTCCGGGTTCGAATCCCCACATGGGTACACTGTGTGAAACCCATTTCTGGTGTCCCCCGCCGTGATATTGCTGGAATATTGCCAAATGCTTCGTAAAACCGCCTTCAATCACTCACTTAAATTCCGTAAGCGGTTTTGATACGTCACCTCAACGGTACTAGTTCCGATTCCGCCCTTAGCTGCCCGAAATGACTAATGCGACCTATGAGCCGACAATAATCAGATTCCTTCGGACTCCTCAGGGATTCCGGGGCTGAATAGGTCCCCACGAACCCACGTGATGCTTGTCTTAAGAGCTGACAAAAGTAGTTCAGCTTGTCATCGGTGGTGTATGTGTCGTCGTGACCGACGGCGTGGATCGTTGGTCACGCTTTCAGTCAACGGTTTGTCCGGATAGGAATGATGGAGGCGGTGACGTTACTTTAGAAAGGAGGCTATGGAGGCGAATGGGTCCAGGGTACTTACCGACATAGATCGGAGATAAAATAATCCAGATATTCGAGGATGGTTTGCACTCTGATCCCGTCTGAATGAAAGGCGTTTATAACTGCCGTCACTACCATCACGACTATCTCATTTAATCAAACTATTTGTACACCTCTCGTTACGGAGATTTCCATTGCCTTTCGACGGAAACATATGCATTGTAACTTGACGTTCACACCTCTACCCATCTGGCACATCGCCATTCGAAGATTATTTGTGTAATTATCAAGTCCGGGATTCGAATTTATCTTTGACTGACTGTCGGCCCACTGGCACGATCGCTCCACTACCGACGCAACATCAATCGCAAAAGGCGACTAACGGGATCGGGTGGTCAGCCTCGCTGACTTGGTTGATGCAGGTCATCCATCCTAATTGCGTGGATCGATGCTCATGATATCAATCACTGGATTGTCTGGTTCAGACTCGATTATTTTACAGACCGCCGAATATAGCTCGAATATTGCTGAGTGCGGCGTAAAACAACAAACCAAACCAAAAAAAACCCCAACCACATCAATCTCTTTGTCTCTCATACGGACCTTGAAAGTAACATATCACAAAATTCCCACGCAAGTCTAGATTTATTCAGTTTGAATCAAGATATTCTCTGGGCATCTTTTCAATAACATATTTAAAGAAAAGTTAAAAATATAATCTAATTTATTTGGTATAGACATTAGTGATATATATTTTTCAGTTGAAGGATATTTGCAATGATAATATTTTAGAAAATATCGATTTCCGAGGACATTTAGGTTAGGGCAATTTAACATGAAATGTAACTCGTCACCTATTCCAAGATTAAGGTAAGAACAGATTCTATTTTCTCCACTTTCACTGCACCATCGACCAGTTTCCATTGGGAAATGATGATTACTCAGTCTATATCGAGTTTCATCTGAGGTTGCCAGGCAGTGATAACAGGTATGGTTAAGTTATGTGTAACTTCTACAACATAAGGAGTTGTTTTAACTTTATACTTTACAGTGAGTGAGTATGGTTTTACGCCGCTTTTAGCAATATTCCAGCAATATCACGGCGGGGGACACAATAAATGGGCTTCACACATTGTACCCATGTCGGGAATCAAACCCGGCGTGACGAGCGAACGCCTTAACCACTAGGCTACCCGACCGCCCCTTATACTTACAAGACAGGAGTGGTTCAGGGTTAAACCTTGAACAGAATTTCACCTAAATCGCCGTGTGTCAGCTTGATGTGGGAGGCTGGCATGGGTGGCACTGGTCAAAGACGTGTAGCACTATGGGGAAACCCACACTGACGGTGCATACAGACCATGTACCTGGGTGAATCTAGGATTCGAGCCCCGATTTAACATAAACCCACCTTGTACACAATACATAAACGTCACAATTCGGGGAATTGGGGAATATTGCCAAACCTCGCTGTCCGAAATATTACAGGCATGTCACGTTCGCCTGTACAAAATGGAGTCCGGGCCAGCCAAACCAGTGACTGGAAACATCAACGCCCGAGCCCAAAGGGTACGGCAACACACAACAGCATATCTGATAAAACGATAAATCATTTATACTTAAAATCTTTATTTTAGAAAAACTAGAGGTATCTTTGTCGGTGAAACAAACATTGTGTCTACAAATGACACAATGATGCTGGCAACAGGACAGACAGAGATATGCAGCCAAACAGGAACATTCACACTGACAATTACCATATCTACACCACGTTTTCATGGGGAGGGAGTGACTTGCGTTTTATGCCGCGTTTTAGAATAAGTCCAGCAATATCAAGGCCCGGACCCCAGAATTTGGATTAACAAATTGTACTTATTCCAGTTTTTGTTTTGATTGATTACTGGCTTTCCTACAGCAATAGCAGCACGACTTCCATATCAGGAATATACACACGTGGAGGATGAACAGGACAAGCCCGATGACGTCCAGACACAAATACTGATACAACGGCATGTCTTGACAATATGACCTCAGATGTGCGCCGCCATATTTGAGCACGTGTTCTATCCAGTAAACAGCTTCATCTTTGGGACTTCTTTTCCGGAGCTTCGTGATTTCTGCAGCTTTCTTGATTTTCTGTGAGTAGGAAGAATTCTGTATGACCTCATTGATGTTGGATACCAAGTCATCAACAGTAAACGTTCTTAAATCCATGTTTACACCAAAACCATGATACACGAGCTTCACTGAATTATACGGTTGATCCCCAAATATGGGAAAGCCAATCATCGGAACTCCCTTCAAGAAAGCCTCGTTCTGACTACTAGCCCCACAATGTGTGATAAACAATTTAGTATTCGGGTGGGCGAATAAATCCGATTGTGGCATCCAGTCGGTTAAAATTACATTACGTGTCACTTTGACTTTTTTGTCAGTCTTGAATATGAATCTGTAGTTCGTTCGAGAAAATGCCTCAAGTAACCTTTTGGATATTACATCTGGAAGCGACTTCACATTACTTCCGAAAGAAACAATAACCACGCCCTCTTTTGACTCGTCCATAAACTTCTTGTATTCATCAGGGGGTGACTTTGGTTCAGTCGCTGACAGTGATCCAATCAGCTTCACGTTGGGCAGGGTGGCTACTGGGTAGTGAAGGAGAGGCTCAATGTCGATGAGCCAAAGCCAGGCCTTAGCTGTCAGAGATTCCATTGAGATGTACGGCTTCTCTGGGGCGTATGTCGCTACTGGCCTCAAGCTACAGAACGGATCATATACAAACACGTACATCAAAGTCGTGATGACATTTGCTACACGTGTCCCAAAGTCCATTTTCGGCGTCCTCGGGAAAATGATGAACGGAGACGCAGATGGAATGAAAGGGGTCCGGCTGACTTGAGGCTCGAATGCTGCCCCCATGAATATGAAGGGTATGTCCAGTCTATGAGCAATGACGGTGAGCATTCTCGCGACGGGAACAACATCAAGTATAATCAAATCAAAATTCAAATCTGTGATTCTCTTAAATAATTCCTTGTCCCTCAGTATTTGGTCACATACTTTCTTCATGACATCAAGGTGCAAAGTACAAGTTTCTTTCAAACAATCGGCTACTATACTGTCGACAAAATTGTCTAAGTTTAAGTCCTCAACAGCATCGTATTTGAGGATGTTGACACCCGTCGCTTGCATGCCCTTATGATTGGCCAGTTTAGTTGATAGAGCATTCCATACCACGTGACCACGCGAAGCTAGCTCAGTGGCCACGTTCAGAGATCCCCGGATGTGACTGTATGTTGGCATGTACAAGAAGAGAATCCTAGCGGCCTGGAACCCAGGCAGACACATCAGCAACAGCAGGGCCAAGCTTCCGGTATCTCCTCCCATCCTGGATAATTGATGCCGCCTGTAATCTACAAAGAAAGTTGGCTGAAATATATAAATATGTTAGAGTGAGCGAGTCGGGAATGATGCAGCGAGGGTCACCAGACATGGGCTTCACACACTGTAACCTGCTGGGAATTGAACCCGGACCTTTGGCGTCACGAACGAATGCTTTAACCACTAAGCTACCCCACAATTCTGAAGATACCAGACGTCATCGTGTTGGTTGTTTAGGATCAGAGTGTAACATCCCTTCATTTTGGTTGACGAAAATAGCACTAATCGTCACCAGAAGAAAGCCCTACAAACAAGGAGGATTTAAACAGATGTGATTTGACGAGACGTAGAAACAGTTCAACGTTATGAAAATGCGTTCCATACTTGGGATCGAAATGGTGTTAAGAATCCTTTCTCTCGTCTCAATGTTGAACATGGGACTCTTTGCGTCATGTACTCAATAATTTACTGCATCAGATGTCTGCATGAACAGGTGCTTCCGCTATCTACCGGGCAGAGTGGCCTTTCTTGGGGTTAGGATGTTTGCATCTTCCCGAGGCAAGAGAGTTAACTGACTTTAAAAGTCAGCTAACTTCCTAAAAAACTGGACTTTAAACGTCAGTTTACTCCCTTGCCTCGGGGAGATGGGATATTCTTTAGAGACAGACGATTTTATCAGTAACTACTTCGTTACATACAATACGCTGCAAGAATGACCCGGAAATTTATCCTTCACACAACACATTTTCTTCCGTCCATTCGGCATTTTTCGGTTTCGCAAAACCTGAAGCCAGCTTAATTTGTCAAATATTGTCATGAAATAGTTTAACAAAATTAAGTCGGGCCTTAAGTGGCACGCCAAATGATGACTGAAGAGAAGAGATTTGTTTTGAGAAAGGATAGGATAGGCCTGAAGGTCTTGTACCTGTCGCAGCAACATTTACTGGGGATCTAGGTGTTTGTCAGTGTATGGATACATAGCAGTTTACATAGCAATCGAAGTAGCTTATTTGGAGAGAGGATTTTGGTTTTTTTTCACTCTTAGCCATATTCTAACTATACTTGCCACATAAAGAAACTGTGCACGGAGAAAATATAGATATAAGGGCACACCGTCCATATATGAAATATAGGTTTGAACACAGCAATTATTGGAGACATTCAAACGCTCATGCACGTGCCATGCGATATGACGTCATTGATGGGGGCCTATGGACGTGCAATGTGTTACTGCACGTGTATCCTGTGCAGCTGTACACAGCATGTGCAACTCAAAATTCGCTGTCACTTTGGAAAGCATGATCTGTGGTCATTCAAAAATTCAAAACTTCTCAGGCGCAGACACAAGCATATCACAAGCAAATCATGCCAAGATTGACAGCTGCACAGCGTCATGAAGCCATTGGAATGATCCGAGCGGGAATGAGGCAACAACAGGTGGCAACACATTTCCAATGCCATCGTAACACGATATCGGCATTGGTGAGGCGTTATCAGAACACGAATGACGTTGCCGACCACCCACGTTCAGGACGTCCCCGAGTAACGACGCCAAGACAGGACAGATGGATTCGAGTGACACATCTCCGACACAGGTTCCAAACGGCAGTAACGACGTCCCAGACAATTCCTGGACTGCGCCGTATCCATCCCAACACTGTCAGGAATCGTTTACGTCAGTACGGGATTCGACCACGACGCCCTGCCATACGTCCCATCCTGACACACCGTCATCGAGTCAACCGTCTAAGATGGTGTCGAAATCATGTTCGCAAACCTCGAATATGGTGGAGAAATGTTGTCTTTACAGATGAATCGAGGTTCAACATTTCCCACAGTGACGGGCGCCAACGTGTCTACCGGCGTTTGGGAGAACGTTATGCACGCAACTGTATTGTGGAGAGGAATCGTTTTGGAGGTGTCTCTGTGATGATTTGGGTTGGGATAACAGCACGGCACCGAACCCCTTTGGTGGTTGTTCAGGGCAATCTCACCGGTGTTTGCTACAGAGATCAGATTCTGAGGCCTGTGGTCATTCCTTTCCTGCAACGTCATGGCCCGGGATTGACATTTCAACAGGACAACGCTCGTCCTCACACGGCTAGGGTCGCAATGGATTTCCTTCACCATAACAATGTCATGTTACTGCCATGGCCTGCAAGATCTCTCCCCAATAGAGCATATGTGGGATGAAATGGAGCGCCGTCTGCGTCGTCTTCCACATCCTCCAGATAACGTCCGTGACTTGGCACAGGATTTGAGGAGGATATGGCAGGCCATTCCCCAGACCTTCCATGCCCATTTGGTGGACTCCATGCGTCGCCGATGCACTGCTGTGATTCACGCACAGGGTGGTCATACCCGTTATTGACTTTGTGACTTTGTCGTTTGACCCCCTACTCCATTTTGATCTTCTGACGTCATCGTAACAGATGTTGTTCAGGTCCCGATGACATTTTCTTATGGTCCGATCATTCAGCTGCTACAACGTCTGCATCATTTTGTTCTTGCTGTGTTGTATTTCAATCCAGAATATATTTTCTCCGTGCACAGTTTCTTTATGTGGCTAGTATATGAATGGTTTTCATATATTGTAGCCATGCTGGCAATTGAACTCAGGTCTTCAATTTGACCGGCCAACGCATTAACCTCCAGGTTTTTATATATTAGACCATACGTTGGTTCTTGGTTGGTTTGTTGTTTTACGCCGCACTCAGCAATATTCCAGCTATATGACGGCGGTCTGTAAATAATCGAGTCTGGACCAGACAATCCAGTGATTAATATCCTGTGCATCGATCCACGCAATTGGGATCGATGATATGTCTCAACCAAGTCAGCGAGCCTGACCACCTGATCCCGTTAGTCGCCTTTTACTAGACCGTACGTGATCCTGACCCTTTCAAACTGTGATGAGCACCCGTGAGGGCAGATCAAGGGGGCGCAACTGGTGAGATGAGATCAGTTCACTGATAAACACACATACAAATAAATAAGAGCATCACAAATCAATTACCAAAACTGCTATACGGTCATTTGGGTACAAAATGAATAAAATGGGCGAGTTAACACAACCCTGAGGGGCCCCTGTAGAAGTAATAATAATAATAATAATAATTGATAATATCCATCGACAGTTGCTCACTGGCGCTGTGACAAAGTTAAAAAGTAATGTCTATGTACATATGCCAACAATCAGGAGATCTATTGAAAAGCTGAAGTGAAGAAGTGGGTTTTGAGGAGAGACTTAAACGTTTCCTTAGAAGCAGAGTTTCTCAGATTCAAAGGCAAAGAGTTCCATAACTGTGGACTGCAAAAGGAGAAGGCACCGTCAGACATAGCAGAAGTAGACAGAGGCTGATACAGTAGAGTTCCACCAGAGGATCGGAGAGCACGCTCTGGAGAGTACAGGGATATAAGATCTTTGAGATAGTCTGGATAGTCGCTATTGTTGAGGCAGTCGTCAAGAAGTGAGAATAAGAGATGAGTGGGTGCCATTAACGGTGACAAACGGTGGCCTGTTTACAATAAAAGATTCGACCAATTTGACAATATTTTAGTTAACACCCATGTTGATAAGCTTTTGCATACGTAAGTGAGGCTATCTGGTATTGAAAGCGAATGAAAAATCGACGAACAACATTTTTAAATAAGATTTACCGTTATCCAGATGGCTATAGATTTTATGCAGGAGAGTCTGTGTTGCATCATCGACACCTCTGTTGGGTCTATATGCAAACTGCAAAGGGTCCAGAAAATGTTGAACTTCGAAATATAACAATCTCTTGATAATGTGTTCAAGGCATTTCATAGCTTTTGAGTGAGTGAGTGAGTGAGTGAGTGAGTTGTGTTTAACGCCGCTTTTAACAGTATTCCAGTTATATCACGGCGTGTCAGCTTCATGTGGGAGGAAAGCCCGAAATGATGCAGGTCTAAGACGTTTACCACTTCAGTGAAACCCCATGAGCACGGGTATGGTGCTGACAAACCTAGAAACATAATCGTGGCGAACCGGGATTCGAACCCACAGTCATAGGTTTCTGGCGTGGCATAGCTATTGGAGTTAAAGACAGTGGGTGCTAGTCATTGAGGACAGTTGGGTTTTGCTTTTTGGGAACAGGTACAATGTTAGAACGTTTCCAAAATAGAGGAATGTGTTTGGAATCTCATGAAGCTTGAAAGGGTTTTTGAAATATGCCGCACAAACTGCTCACAACACTCTTTTAATACTATACCATGTAGAGGCCATTATCAGGGCCATATACATTGAGTATGTTTAGTGCGCTAAGACATTTAAGAATTAAATATCGTCATTAGTTATGGCTAAGTTATCTCCTGCTGGAGGGACTGAAATTCACTTTGGAGGAAAAATTATCAGTATCAAACGAGCATAAAAAGAATTCAACTCACTGGCGAAGGACCGGTGTTTTTTTTGTTGGTCCAAATGATAGCCTTAATGCCATTCCAGGCAGAACGTAGATTATTGTTTTTCAACTTTGTGTTTGTAAAGTGATTCGCATTACCTAGTTACACACATGATGTCCTTTTGAATGGGTTAAACGTTCGTCCTGTCGCCTGTACAGTGCACTCATGCTTGCCGTAAAAGGCGACTATGCTTGTCGTCAGAGGCGACTCACGGAATCGGGTGGTCAGGCTCACTGACTTAGTTGATGCATGTGATCGTATCCCAGTTGCGTAGATCGATGCTCATGATGTCAATCACAGGATTGTCAGGTCCAGACTCGATTATTTACAGACCGCCGTCATATAGCTGGACTATTGCTGAGTGCGGCGTTAAACAACAAACAAACAAACAACTGAGGACTTTTCGCTGAGGACCGACTTGAGCTCTTTTGATACCCAGGGCTTGTTGTTCGGCTTCCCTTTGAAGAATTATTCCAGCACAATAAACTGTAATACGTTTCAAGGATAATAGGAAGTCCAACCGGACCTAATCCAGCTGAGACTTCTATGTACGCCAGTGCACGACTCTACACCCGCGAGGCTCCTGTCTATCCTAACGAGCAGACGGCCTCAGACCACAGTTATCCCCCCTAAGTTTTGGCCTCAGACCACAGTTACCCCCCCTTAGTTTTGGCCTCAGACCACAGTTATCCCCCCTAAGTTTTACCATGAACCGGAAGGAAAATAGGAGAATATAGTACCCAGTTGAAATGGGCTGTTCAGCCTGTGGCAATTTTTTTGGAGTGACTTGTGATAGCTTAAATGAAAGATAAGACATTGTAGTTTGCTGTCAATTTTGTGTTAGCCCCAATCTGTGAAGGTATTGATTCCAGCTTCCCATGATTTGACCCCAAGTTGAAGGCCGCTGTGTGTGTTTCGGCTCGAAACTTCCGGTGAGCATTGTTGACAGTGGTTACTGCGAAAGCAAGGTGGTGGATGCTGGACGTAAGTTTGCGTTTTAAGTGACAAGTGGCAGGTTGGTCAGCATGCAACAGGAGAACAGCCTACGACTGATAATAATTATGGTGGGCTGTCATGTCACTGTAGATAGCAAAGAAGGAAATTAATTGTGGTCTGAGGCCAGACATCGGGCAGCTGTTTGTGAGCTTAAAGCGCTGAGCTCGCTGCGCACCCGGACAGTGGAACCAGTTAACCTCAGGTTTGCAGTACGGAACAAGCTAAAGTAATTGACAACGGATAACATCTCCGTCGGGAAACATCGCTGAAACCCGACAAACAACGAACGACAAGCATCTGTTTCCCTACCTTTCTACTAGGGAAGCGTCCCGAACCTATCGTGAAGCTTTGGAATATCCCATACAGTCAATCTGTCGACAGAGGGCGCTGATATAATCCCAGTCATACCAGTCTTTCCAGGCTTGACGGAAGCAGCCGAACGTGAGATTGCCACACACGTCACGTGGACACCACTTAGGGTTCTTCTCAAAAGTTGTTCCACCGATTATTAGATGTTTTCTGTTTCTAATTGGAATTTGGTCGGACCTTGGTTGGTGATTCAAGATGAAATGTTCACATAACAACAACCATTAACATATACATAATTCATTTCAGAAAATAGTATTTTTAGTTACAGAGAAAAGTGCCAACGAATAACCTTTGAGATGATTCATGCAAGAAGGTCAAATACGTTTAAAGATGGCGAGTTTGAGATTGAATGGCTAGACGGTGTTATATTTCATTGAATCGACACCAGGATAACACACAGGATGAACCGAAAAAAAATACACAGTCAATCCTAAAATGCAACAATACAAATTGGACATGATATACATTTATACAAATGTTATTTTGGAATCTCCACGGGATTTGAATAATAAAATGAACATAGAATGCTGTTGGTTTTATATAAAACAAGTGATTTCTTCAAGTTTATTAGCATTAACTATACTATACATTAACTGTACAGCTTATTCGAGCTTGTCAAAACTCCTTTATGCACACAAGATCTTTCACTGCTCAAGGGCTCTTCGTTGTAGTCATAGGGAGAGCAGAACAATAGTATTTATGGCGTCATAATACCTATCAAGTAATACAGTGACAATAGAGGGAGAAGTAAAACGTAGTCCAAGGTGACAGCCATTGTTATTTTTTGACGTCATAAGGCCTATGACGTCATAGTGGTATTAGTGGGAGGCGTAAATACACATTGAGCTACATGGGGAAGTTTTGAAAATTATAATTTTGAATAAAGTTAAAGTTTCAAAAGCCTAATGAGCATCTGTTCCTTTTCCTTTCGTAAATGTTCGTCATTGTTAAACAAATGGCCACTCCCGCATTCATCAATGTGTTTGCTTACATTTATACAAAGTACATTTGGATCTCGAAATTGCTGTCTTTGTACAGTGATTCGGTTTTTTAGTTGCATACCAGTTTCTCCAATATAATGCTCACCACATCCCGCACATGTTAAAACATATATAACATCTTTACTGCGAAAGTTCATGTTGTTTTAGACAGTAAATAGACAGTAATCTTCGCAAAAATTGAAATTTGCAGTCTCCAATTATTATTGGGCAAGTTCCACATCGAGGTGTGTGACATTTTGTTACACTGACAGAATTTGTATTTTGTGAGTATTTGGACGGACAAAGAATTTGTTTGAGATTTGTAGGCTTTCTAATGCTGCGTATAAGTTTAGGCTTAGATAAACCTTTTTTCATGGCTTTACTTTTCTGTAAAATTGGAAGATTGGCTGTTAGAAGGGGCATAATGTAACAGTTTCTAGGATTGTACAAACAAAACAGATGGAAGAATGTCCGTGTCTGTATCTGTTTCTATTGTTTTCATCAATGTTTCTCGTGGATTTTTTATTGTTTTATTTACAGCGTCTTCAAGCACTCCACATGGGTATCCTTGTAGTTGGAGATATGTCTTTAATTCTTCTAATCTTCGGTTGTCTGTTGTCTATCTCTTCTACTGTTGAGAACCAAATAATAAAACAGTCGTCCAGATATCTTCTCCATGTTTCACGAATATGTTTAGCTGTATTTACATCCATCAGCTGTTCTTCTTTGGCATATAACATTTCTTCTATGTATCCCATTACCAGAGAAGCGTATGTGGGTGCTAATTTTGTTCCCATGGCTGTTCCGTTTATTTGCTGATAATACTTGTTGATGAAATAGTACGTAACGGTATTGTTCTCCAATACACATTTCAAAGATTCCATGATGAAGGCAGAGACCATATAATAGAGGGTCTATTATATGGTCTCTGATGAAGGTTTGTGTGAAATTGCAGTCAATATCATCTGCATCATTATTTCACCAATATTGCATCGCTTCAAGGCCTTGAGCATGGTGTATATTAGCAATATAAACGTTTCACGTCAAAGGTCACTAGAACAGCATTCATTGGTTCCGATAGGTAACTTAAAAAGTCCATATCATCTCGAACAAAACTTAGTCAGAGTCAGATACTCCCTCATCATCTTATGAAATTTAGGGACCAGAGGGATTCCTAGTATCCTGACCCGCCGGTGTGGGCGATCGGGCCGATCTGGTTTTCTTGACCGGTGTTTTCTTGGTTTTCGTGGATTTGATTTTCTGCAGTCTTAGAGAGACGATCTGACACGGTCAGACGGAACGAAAACACGTCGGCACAAAGTGCAGACTGGTCGCCGTGTGGACTGTTCGTCCATTATAAAGAATAACTATCCCAAAATAGGGATATAAGTGAAGATGCAGTCAAGAAGACAACAAAGATATGAAGATCACTCGCAAGGAAAAAAACCCAAAAGGGATTCCTTTAATAACAATACGTCACCAGTGCGTGGCGATTTGAAAGAGAATGCGTTGACTGGGATAGACACGTGTTCAGGGCAAGTAGGTCAACCAGCATGCACAGCGCGCATGACCCAGATCTGGGAGGTGGCCGTGGCGATATGAGGCATGAACTTAAGAAGCTGGAAACCTTCATTGCAGACACGTTTCCACTCAGAGTCGAAAGAATAAAGAAGAATGCATAGTGTGAGATAGGAAAAGTTAAAAACAAATATGTTTTTCAAAGTGTAATTTCATCACTATGCGCATTTTCTATACTTCCTGGTCTAAAGAACAGGTCCTTGGGTTGCTGAACAGTTCTTCAGCAACCCAAGGCGACTATGCTTGTCGTAAGAGGCGACTAAGGGGATCGGGTGGTCAGTATCGCTCATTTGGTCGATGCATGTCATCGTATCCTAATTGCGTCGATCGATGCTCATAATGTCAATCACTGGATTGTCTGCTCCAGACTCAATTATTTACAGACCGTCGTCATATAGCTGGAATGTTGCGGAGTGCGGCGTTAAACAACAAACAAACAAACAAACAAACAAAAGATTATACAAATACATCAGATGAACTGGCTAACGTCGATATTCATGAGATCCACAGAGTTGTTAGATTCAACGTCCGTTTCGAGCATATGTGTAAACCTACAATGGCCCAAAAGGGCCAAGAACGATATGATCGGATATTTCGACTATCACAGGTTTTCAGCTGCACATTTTTTAAGAAGGGAAACTGAAGAGGAAATCTAAGAAATAGGAGGAGAACCTTGAACATTGCCTAAAACCTCTGAAAACAAACATAGAAAAGCTTACACTGAAACGCCGACAAAATTTTGTTTTCCAAGACGATATCGCTCGTACTAATCGTGAACATATCGTAACTGACTTCCTGCAGCAGAAAATCACCATTATGCAATGGCCTGCCATCAGTCCTGACCTTTCCCACATCACGTCTGGGACATGATCAGGAGGTCAGTGTACGCCGATGTCAAAGGCAACCCACTACGTTAGTTGAACAGGGCCAGACGCTGCAAAAGGAGTGAACAAGAATCCCTTAAATTGTCATTGGGAGATTGATTCGTACCATGCCACACACATAAACGTAATTTGACCAATCGTGAGGGCATGACCCATTATTGATCTAAGTAATCTCAATCGTTAAGTTGTTGACTAAGTTTTTACAGACCGCCGTCATATAGCTGGAATATTGCTGAGTGTGGCGTTAAACAAATAAACAAACAGGATAAGAGAAAAGGCTGGTTCCATAACTGCTTATGATGTTCTACTCTCTGTATTGTTGTCTAAGATACGGCAGATAATTCAATATCACCACCATGGGGTTATGTTTAATGAAAGGCATCACAACTGTAAGTGTATTTTAATAAAAAATGTATGGCAAAAGAAATAAAGGCATATACAGCATTAAAGTTGACATTTTATGAAGCGTGAATCTATACTGTTCTGTATTGCAATGGCATACAATATTACCTTTACTAGATTAAAAATATTGTTGAAATTGGATTATTGTCACATATTTGTCAGTACATTTATTCTCAATATTAGCAGAACATATTTGAATATTAATGCTGACGGCAAATTGTTAAGCGCTTGTTTGTGTTGACTATTATCCAGGTGAGCTACAGTCCCATGGCACTTTTTCCAGTTTAGTTTTCGCCGATTCAAATATTAATGTATTTCCACCTCGGATGAAAAATGTGTGATACCATACTCCAACACGTGAAACATCTTAAAAACGTGTCCATGTCCCTTATGGGCCATCGTAGAAAATAAAGTGTCATAATAATCTAGAGTTACTTCCCTTGTAAAATTCCCAGAATTATGATGCAACTGGGGTTTTCCGAACAAAATATGAAATTATTTGAAAACTACGACGCTGAAAGCTGTACAGAGTAGAGGTAAATAGAATTTCCTTTGAATACGACTCCACGAAAACAGTTGTATCTATACCTTCATGATGTTGTTAAGTAGCTGATAGTTGACGAATAACTAGCAGTTTGAAAGTCTTACCAAATATGCAAACATGAGCTTATTATGTCTGACTGATGTATGTCATTGTAAATTAGAGGACATAGCGACAGTTGAGAGTGAAGAAACAGATAAAGATAATTTTAGTGGGATACCATCGCGTGTCTTGGGTCCCGCTCAGGAAAGTGATAGTAGCCCATCTAACTCAATGTTAGTATAGGGGAGTTACGATCTGTGTGGGAGTGGGGTCTGTATGAGGCGCCGCATTGCTACTTATTCCCTATTTTATGATGTCAATCATTCATTTCTTACTACCACGAAATGTATTATTGATATCACAAATCCGTTTTTATGATATTATAAAATATTTATTGATATCACAAATTTATTGATATAGAATGCCTTTTTTATAATATGGATGAAGTCCATAGATATAATTTGTTACATTTTAAATTCAAAGTTTTTTTTATATCACAAATTCGACCTAGTTATGTCAATCATTCAGTTCTTGATACATTTTATCGTGGTACATTTTAGATATTAATAAATCTAATTTGTGATATCAATAAGTAAGTTTTTTACATTAACTGACCCCTTGACTGTTCAGTGACGGAGTATGATATTAGCAGTCAATATTTAGCTAAGTAGAAAGCAAAATCTTTACAAACTGTTTTATCAATTACTTTAAAAACAAAGTAATATGTCCGCCAAGTGTTTGTTTTTGTTCGTTTGTTATTTAACGCCGTATTCAGCAGTATTCAAGGTGTATGACGGCGGTCTGTATATATTCGAGTCTGGACCAGACAATCCAGTGTTTGATAGCATGAGCATATATCCATGGAATTAAGATACGGTGACATGCATCAACCAAGTCAGCAAGCCTGACCACCCGATCCCGTAAGTCGCCTCTTGCGACAAGCATAGTCGCATTTTACAACAAGCATGGGTTGCTGAAGACCTATTCTACCCCGGACCTTCACGGGTCTCCGCCAATTGAAATGCGTGATAGATTTGTCAGACAACAATAATGTTGACCATTAGCTTATTTACTTTGGTATATACCAAGAAGTGAGCTCTTGATATCACAAAGTCGACTTTTAAATACTAGTAAATAAAGGCGACAAATCCCTTCCCATATTCATCCGAAATCTCGACTGCACGATTCCCACTACATCGTGAGCATGTGACAAATAGTGATGACACAAGGTGTTCGCGAAAAGGTGAGCGTATCCTGCCCCACAGGCGGTAAACGTCACAAACACATGCAAGGCAAGTTAAATGTTCACCTAAATAAACGCACGAAAATATATGGTACAGGTCAAAATAGGGAACTGAAACGGAAATAATTTTTGTCACTGATGCGTCAAATTTGGAAATAGGTTTCGAATTTGTGATATCTAAAAATGGTTCAATTCTATAGAAAAATCGAATTTGTGATAGCAATAATTAATATTTGGTATCGCTACATGAAAAGTATCAGCCATGTTTAAATGGCTGACAACCAGCCTGCTTTCCTTCTTCAATATGCTTGCAGCTTGCTTTCCCTTCATTAATAGGCTTGCAGCCTGCTTTCCCGTCATTAATAGGCTTGCAGCCTGCTTTCCTTCTTCAATATGCTTGCAGCTTGCTTTCCCTTCATTAATAGGCTTGCAGCCTGCTTTCCCGTCATTAATAGGCTTGCAGCCTGCTTTCCTTTTTTAATAGGCTGGCTGGTATCCCAATTGCGTCGATCGATGCTCTTAATGTCAATCACTGGATTGTCTGGTCAAGACTCGATTATTTACAGACCGTCGTCATATAGCGGGAATGTTGTGGAGTGCGGCGTTAAACAACAAACAAAAGATCATACAAATACATCAGATGAACTGGCTAACGTCGATATTCATGAGATCCACAGAGTTGTTTGATTTATCGTTCGCTTTGAGCATATGTATAAAACTACAATGGCCCAAAAGGGCCAAGAAAACGTTTCCCATATGATCGGATATTTCGACTATCACCGGTTTTCTGCTTCACATTTTTTAAGAAAAGGAAACTGAAGAGGAAATCTAAAAAATAGGAGGAGAACCTTGAACATTGCCTAAAACCTCTGAAAACAAACATGGGCTGCCATCAGTCATGACCTTTCCCACATCACGCCTGGGACATGATCAGGTGGTCAGTGTACGCCGATGTCAAAGGCAACCCACTACGTTAGTTGAACTGGGCCAGACGCTACAAAAGGAGTGGACAAGAATCCCTTAAATTGTCATTGGGAAATTGATTCGTACCATGCCACACACATAAACGTAATTTGACCAATCGTGAGGGCATGACCCATTATTGATCCAAGTAATCTCAATCGTTAAGTTGTTGACTAAGTTTTTACAGACCGCCGTCATATAGCTGGAATATTGCTCAGTGTGGCGTTAAACAAACAAACAAACAAACAAACAGAATTAGAGAAAAGGCTGGTTCCATAATTGCTTATGGTGTTCCACTCTCTGTATTGTTGTCTAAGATAAGGCAGATAATTCAATATCACCACCATGGGGTTATGTTTAATGAAAGGCATCACAATTGTAAGTTTATTATGATAAAAAATGTATGGCAAAAGAAATAAAGGCATATACAGCATTAAAGTTGACATTTTATGAAGCGTGAATCTATACTGTTCTGTATTGCAATGGCATACAATATTACCTTTACTAGATTAAAAATATTGTTGAAATTGGATTATTGTAACATATTTGTCAGTACATTTATTCTCAATATTAGCAGAACATATTTGAATATTAATGCTGACGGCTAATTGTTAAGCGCTTGTTTGTGTTGACTATTACCCAGGTGAGCTACAGTCCCATGGCACTTTTTCCAGTTTAGTTTTCGCCGATTCAAATATTAATGTATTTCCACCTCGGATGAAAAAAGTGTGATACCATACTCCAAAACGTGAAACATCTTGAAAACGTGTCCATGTCCCTTATGGGCCACCGTAGAAAATAAAGTGTCATAATAATCATCTAGAGTTACTTCCCCTGTAAAATTCCCGGAATTATGTTGCAACTGGGGTTTTCCCAGCAAAATATGAAATTATTTGAAAACTACGACGCTGAAAGCTGTACAGAGTAGAGGTAAATAGAATTTCCTTTGAATAAGACTCCACGAAAACAGTTGTATCAAAACCTTCATGATGTTGTTAAGTAGCTGATAGTTGACCTATAACTAGCAGTTTGAAAGTCTTACCAAATATGCAAACATGAGCTTATTATGTCTGACTGATGTATGTCATTGTAAATTAGAGGGTATAGCGACAGTTGAGAGTTAAAGAAACATTTTTTAAAGAAACAGATAAAGATAATTTTAGTGGGATACCATCGTGTGTCTTGGGTCCCGCTCAGGAAAGTGATAGTAGCCCATCTAACTCAATGTTAGTATAGGGGAGTTACGATCTGTGTGGGAGAGGAGTCTGTATGAGGCGCCGCATTGCTACTTATTCCCTATTTTATGATGTCAATCATTCATTTCTTACTACCACAAAATGTATTATTGATATCACAAATCCGTTTTTATGATATTATAAAATATTTATTGATATCACAAATTTATTGATATAGAATGCATTTTTATAATATGGATGAGGTCCATAGATATAATTTGTTACATTTTAAATTCAAAGTTTTTTTTATATCACAAATTCGATCTAGTTATGTCAATCATTCAGTTCTTGATACATCTAATCGTGGTACATTTTAGATATTAATAAATCTAATTTGTGATATCAATAAGTAAGTTTTTTACATTAACTGACCCCTTGACTGTTCAGTGACGGAGTGTGATATTAGCAGTCAATGTTTAGCTTAATAGATAGCAAAATCTTTACAAACTGTTTTATTAATTACTTTAAAAACAAAGTAATATGTCCGCCAAGTGTTTGTTTTTGTTGGTTTGTTATTTAACGCCGTACTCAGCAGTATTCAAGGTGTATGACGGCGGTCTGTAAATATTCGAGTCTTGACCAGACAATGCAGTGTTTGATATCATGAGCATCTATCTATGGAATTAAGATACGATGACATGCATCAACCAAGTCAGCAAGCCTGACCACCCGATCCCGTAACTCGCCTCTTGCGACAAGCATTGTCGCATTTTACGGCAAGCATGGGTTGCTGAAGACCTATTCTACCCCGGACCTTCACGGGTCTCCGCCAGTTGAAATGCGTGATAGATTTGTCAGACAACAATAATGTTCACCAGTAGCTTATTTACTTTGGTATGTACCAAGAAGTGAGTTCTTGATATCACAAAGTCGACCTTTACATTCTAATAAATAAAGGCGACAAATCCCTTCCCATGTTCATCAGAAATCTCGGCTGCACGATTCCCACTACATCGTGAGCATGTGACAAATAGTGATGACACAAGGTGTTCGCGAAAAGGTGAGCGTATCCTGCCCCACAGGCGGTAAACGTCACAAACACATGCAAGGCAAGTTAACTGTTCACCTAAATAAACGCACGAAAATATATGGTACAGGTCAAAATAGGGAACTGAAACGGAAATAATTTTTGTCACTGATACGTCAAATTTGGAAATGCCGTATTCGACATAATAAGCGCCCAGGGAGCTCTCAAAATGAGAAATAGGGGTCTCTTATTAGAATATTATTTTGTTGAAAAAAAACATAGTTGAAAGATAAATTTCGTGGTTTATGCTGACAGCCTGAAATGTTTATGTACGACAGATATATTTTTCAGAATTTAATTGCCCATAAATAAGGGTGCATATAACACACGTGTACGTATTATACCGAATAAATAAGTCTTGTGTACATTGATCAATCGGAAGGGATGATAATTGGGCTTGTTCATTAGCCAACATATCAGCAAATATCGCCGTGGGCGCGTATTAGAGCGGGGCGCTTTATCACGTCGAATACGGTACGTTTCGA